ATAGGGATCCAAACCCATGGCCTTGGTGTTATCAGCACCACACTCTCCCGAGTGAGCCATGTGCCAGCCCAATAAACTTTTTCTTAATGTGCCCTTTCCATAATTTGTGTTACGGGTATTAACATCATTTAAGTTTATCTGTGCTAGCTTGTTTTTCTTTTAAATCTCTTTTTGGGCCTCATCTTACTGCTGCTTAATTTGTACACTTCTGCAGGTGGGAACATTTTCGGTGGCCAGTGAGGAAGTCTTGAAGAATAGAGCCATAAAGAAAGCAAAGCGTAGAAATGTTGGATTTGAAGTGAGTGCTTTCTTTTACAGCTTTCGGTATTTTTCAGATACTGATTTGATTTCTGAGTTGCAGAGCATTTCCACCTCTGGGACCAATCATATCAACAAATGCTTACTCCTTGGTGTAGATCATGGGAAGTAGAAAAAAATAAATAAATATGAGGTCTGTATCAGGGGTAGCTTATCCAATGGAGGAAATAAGATAAATAAAAGCAAATTCAAGTTAAGTGACAATATGAAGAGGAAAAACAAGTATAGCAATACAAAAGGCAGAAGAAGTGTTGTCTGATAGTAAGAGAGAGAGATGTATATTTTCAGAGTCTTATCTACTTCCTGGGATCAAGGTGTGAGTAGGGAGAGTCCTTTCACTATACTAGAAGCATTTCATATGTCATTTTTTTCCTAGTATGTTGGTACTTGTATAGTATATTCAAATGTTTCATTACTGTGCTCAGAAAAATAAAAGATGAGTTTTAAGTCCTGAATTGAGATCGTGTGGTCAGTATTGAGCAATTACCCCACATTGAAGAACTCTTCCCCAGTGTAGTCCTCACCCTTCAGATACATCCCAGACCCATGAGTGTGGTCTTGGTGGCCTGGACATTTGTGGTCAGGCAGAAGAACCTGCTTTGAATATCCTTGGTGGCAGCTTTGGAATAAACTATTCAACCACACCTTCTGCAGTGTGTAGTGTTGTGTTGTGTTTTGGTTTAATGAACTATATTCTTAGTTTCCTATTCCTTTTCAAATAAAAAGGATAGTAAAGATATATCAATGTTCATACTTTGAGAAACAATGAAAAAGAATTATTATTACAAAAATATTCATTACGTTACCAAAATTTTGATCATAAATTTTTTTTAATTTTGAAAATGTATAAAGAAGGGAGGAAGAAAGGGTGGGGGGTGTGAAGAGGCAATCAGGAAGAAATTTACAGCTAGAGTTAGTATAGCAAATCAGTCACTCAGAACATCTCATAAATGATGGTATATATTAATGGGAAAAC